CACACACACACACACACACACACACACACACACACACACACACACACACACACACACACACACACACACACACACGCGCACACACACACACGCGCACACACACGCACACGCGCACACACACGCACACGCACACACACGCAGGTTCTCAGCCATCCAAAACGACCCTTGTCGGCTCAGCAGATTGGGGAGATGGAGAGTGTTTTGGCAAGCCAGGAAAGCGCATTGGGGACGCCATCGCCGGTGGTGATGCACGTTTCGTGAATGTAGTGCGGGCGGGACGCGGCAACGGCCGAGAGGTTGAGGGCGGTCGAGACCTCCTGTTTCGTCGCTGCATCGGGGAGGTCGCTCTTGTTGGCAAGAACAAGCAGCCCCGCTTTTGGTGGCAGGATGCCGAGCACGTACTCCAGCTCCCGCTTTGCCTCGTCCAATCGGTATTGATCCGAAGCGTCAACCACATACACCAGCGCCTGCGCCCCCTCCGCAAACACCTTCCACAACGGCCGAATCTGTTTCGTGTGTGTTGTGTGCATGTGTGTGATGTGTGTGTGTGTGTGTGTGTGATATGTGTGAAGAACAAAGCCCCGAGCGAGAGTGAGTGTTGCGATGATCGTTCAAGTAGAAACTGCGGGTGTGAGTGCGTGACTCGGTCGCTCACTACACACACACACACACACACACACACACACACACACACACACACACACACACACACACACACACACACACACACACACAAATCACGCGCACAAAAAAACATACATCGCACACAACAAAACACGGAATGACACGCGTGGGTTCAGCCAGGATTGTCAGAGCGCGGGTACACAAGCACTGGCCCAAATTCTCACCGGAGAACGGCCGCCGACGTCAAAGGAGACAAATGTTGTACGATTTACATTGAGCTGTTCGCAGTTGAAGCCAATGGTGGGGATGAACGCCTCAACTTCGCCTGCCTTGCCGCCACTGCTCTCCTTCAATTTGTACAGCAGCGTTGTCTTGCCACTCGCATCCAAGCCAAGCAACAGCACCCGCACCTTGCTCTCAAAGTACGGCACAAACTTTTGCTTCCACGCATTCCCCATGGCTCTGGCTGCTGCTGGTTGTAGGGTTCTGGTTCGCCTCGCTGCTGGTTCACCTCGCTGTTGTGGTGCGTTGTTCCTTTGGTGTTGTTGGGTGTCTTCGTTCGTTTGCTCGTTCTTTCTTTCTGTGATGCTGTCAGTGCACACGCGCATGCACGCACTTGCTGCTATCGCTTCTCGGGAAACGTAAATGATGCACAATCTGCCTCTGCAGATCTCTGGCGCTCGCACACAGTGCCAGCACAGCAAACTGCTGGCTTCTTGTGCTGCGTTGGCGGTTTTGTTCTTTTTGGCAAAAGGCACTTTGCCACCAAAGGGAGGACAGCAACGATGATGTCATGCCAGGTCACGAAGACGCCCGCCTTCTCCGCTCTGCCTTCATGTACATTCGAGAGTCGAACTTTGCGTCATTCTTGCCTCCTTTGTGCTCGTCTTCCCGTTCGGTGGATGAGTAGGTTTATTGCGGCGCCGTTTCACCTGTTTCCGCTTGTTGTTCCCCACGTAGCCAAACGAGCAGCAATGCAGCAATGTCACATCACACATCTCACACCTCGCATTCCGCATGAGCACAGCTTGGCCAGCTTCTGAAGCTTCTTCTCTGTTCTCCGAGGAAGAGGATGACCACAACAAGCGCGTGCACCAGGCTGCTGCTTTGCCTTGTGCTTCTGGTAGCCACCATCCTTCCCGCACACGCCGAGCCGATATCGCTCGGCTGCCTCCAAGCCGGCACTCACGCCAGTAAGTCGACTACAAGGTTCTTTCTTGACTCGCTGCTTGCACTGCCACACACGAAAACAGTGTCGTGTGGTTCTTGTTTGTCACCAGGGATGGGACAGGGGGAATATTGGAGAACTTGGAGAAGGACCTGAGGCGGCAAGGGCGGTGAAGAGCAAGAGCGAGAAAACACACGTTCACACGCACGCACACCACAGATAGCGAACAACTACACTAGCAGCAGCAGCAACAACAACAACAACAACAACACTCGTAACAACGACGAGACGACGCAGACGACGTCGTCCGATTGTTGCCTGTTCGCGTCATCGAACAACGCATCGCACGTATGCAAGCTCACGAGCTGTTGTGTTTTGTTTCTCACCTGACTGTCAGGCATCTGTGACGACCTTCAAAGGCTTGTGCAAGCAGCAAGCCAAGTCCAGCCGCGAGATGTAAAGGTTCATGTGTTGACGAAAGAAAACATCTTGGACGCCGCCGCTGACGCCCTCATCGACTATGCAATCGTGGATCCAACCTCTGCTGCCTGCCTCCAGGCTGAACACAGCGCTGCACCCATCGCCACACTCGCAGACCCTCTCCTTGAAGGTGTGTTCCATGTACAGTGCCCGTGTAGGTGTATACTGCACGTCACTCGCACTCGCACCTGCGCTTAGACTTCTACACGTTTGTTCCAACTCCTCCACGCCCTAGCGTGCGTTTGCTTCCACTCCTCAACCTCTTCTCCGCCCTCTGTAGCGTTTCGGTGCCCTTCCCACAGACCCATGACTCAAGTATCAAATCACCTTGGTGCCATCCCTTTGCGTGTCATCTGTGCAACTTCCGTTCAGGCGATGGGTACCTGCATGAAGTTGGCGGCGTCATCTTTGCCAAGGCGGACAGCGGCATTGACTCGTTTAACGACTTGGTGGACCGTGTTGTTGCGGCTCCGACAGCCACAGCGTTCAGCGGCATCCAAGCACAGTTCTTTGAGTACCGCCAGCGAACGGGACGAGACCTGATTGACGACGCCGTCATGGTGCGTGTACGTGCATGTGTGCGCATATGCGCGTGTGTGTATTGTTGAAGCGGCAAGGAAGGGGGAAAGGCACCGCTCTGCTCTTTGCTTCATGCTGTTGGGGCAGAGGTTATGAATGGCGCGTGTAGATTTATTATGTGGGTGGCAGTCGCCACCCCACTCATTCACGCACCCTCTGCGCGCCCACTCTGTACGACCTTTCCCTTTCCTGTACTTCACGTTTACGTCCATTGCCGTCACATTGCCTTGATTTCACACCACACCGCACATGACAACCAGATGCAATTCTACAACACATCGAGGCAAGTTGTGGACGCCGTGTTGGAGGGCAAGGCAGAGGCCGGCGCCGTGCCATCTGGAACACTGGAAGAGCTGTTTCTCGAGGGCACCATTGCCCTTGACGGCCTGCATGTGCTGTCGGAGAAGCTCGTTGTTCGCGAAGGTCGCCAATATCCGTACTTCACATCGACGCCCGTCTACCCAAACTGGGCCCTCATCGCCATGCCCTCAACGTCCATCGAGGTGACGCTGATGATGATGATGATGATGATGATGATGATGATGATGATGATGATGATGATGATGATGATGATGATGATGATGCGTTCGTCACTCACAAGCGCACTCCTGCAATCCCTCACACACACACTCTCTCTCTCTCGCTCATGTGCGCGCGAATGTAGGAGCGAAACGACTTTGAATCCTGGCTGCTGCTGCCTTCGTACAACTCAACTGAGCACCTCCACTTTGCACCACCGCTCAGCTACACCGCTGCCAGCACAGTACTGGTGAGAGAAGACTGGATGCTTTGCAATATGTCGTGCGATGCAAAACTCTTTCTCACACGCTTGCCGAACGTCAGCGTGAACTCTAGCCCAAGCAACCAGCACTGGCTCGCATGTGTATGCACACATACGCACACGTGTCCTCTCGTGCACTCACTCGCTCGCTCACACACACACACACACGCACACACACGCGCGCACACACGCACACACACACACACAAATGCATGCAGACCATGTTTGGGGTGATTATTCCTGATGCAACGAGGCCAGGCCTTGGCTATTGCCAACGATTCGAGACCGCCTACGACGCAATTCTCTGTCCTGCTGACCACTACAAACTCCCACCGTACGCTGTTGACGGCACGTGTGACCTGTACACACAGCACCCCTGTCCACCGGGCGTCCTCTGTGTCTGTCGACCTTGCAAGAAGGCACTGCCAGTTGAGGTGTGTTGTCGTTTGTGCTTGTGTGCATGCGTGCTCTGATGCGCCATTGTCATGGCTCTCCTTGAAACTACACATGTGTGCACATCGCCCCGCCATCATGTGTGTTCACTGGTTTCCTTGCCCGCACTTGCGTACGCTCGCTGCCGCGCTCTCTTGTCACAACGCTGAACATCGCACGCACACACATGTGCACGCGTGGATGATCGCAGGTGCATCCTGTTGACCACCACATCTCCGAGTTGCAGCTTGACAGCGACACGAGAGACGTGCTAGAGGCGCTGTCAAAGACATGCTCTCGCATGGAAATCTGCCTGGAGAAGATCCAGAACGAGGACCAATACTTTCTCATGGAAGACAACGAGTACCGCACGCGGCCCAACAAGGACACCTACTACTTCCTGGTGCGAACGCTGCGGGAGGATGGCAGTGTTGTGGAAGTCAAGGCTGAGCACGCCGAAACGCACCCAGAGCTCTCTTGGATGGAGGTCAGCGAGACGCGCTTTGGCATCCACACCGTGCAGGTATTGCCTCTCGCTCGTGCGCCTGTGGGCTCGTGCGTGTGCGCATGTGCCTTATTCGTACGCGTAGGTGTGTGAAACTGATTGTTTGCGTTGAGGTGTGCGTGTGTGTGTACGTACGTGCGTATGCGTACGTGCGAACACGCGTTTATATGTGCACCTCATTGAGCATGGAACGCAAGAGAAACGGCGCTGGTCCGCCACACACCAAGGATTATGTAACCTTAATCAATTCCACCCCGTGTTTCTGTTGCGAGCATCAAACCCCTTCCACGTCTCATCCCCTCCCCTCCCCTCCCCCTTGTGCAGATCCTGCTCGCAGATGACAACATCCCCGAAGACCAGTGGGAGCACCTTGAGGCCTCGCCCTTTCTCATGCGCGTGCTGCCACGCGAATGCCCGCCAGACAAAGAGGCCACACAGTTGGGCACGTGCGGCTGTCCTGCGCAGACCCTCAACATGGGTGGAAAATGCCTGCGCGCACGGGAGTTTGTGCCCATTTTCCTCGTCATCGCGCTCGTGTTCATCGCCATCCTGTCCTACGTCATCATTGTGATCATGCGCAAGCGTGCGGATGCGCTGTGGCATATTGACAGCGAGGACATTGTTGTGAGCGACCCGCCCGACATGCTTGGCCGAGGAGCGTTTGGAGTTGTGATCAAGGGGGAGCTGAACGGCACCGCCATCGCCATCAAGCGGGCAATCCCACGACCGCCCTCGTCCAAGAGTGGCAGCTCCACCGGCAAACGCAGCAGCTCCTCCCTCGCCAGCGATGCAAGCGGGTCAACCAAGCACTCCCGGATCGGTCGCAAGCGCATCAACTCCGTGGCCAGGTCCACCGTGAATGGCCAGAAAAGCCTCAGCCCTTGCACGACATTTGTGGAGGTGGACAACAGCACTAAGGAACAACGCCTGCTTCGTGCCCTCACCGCATTCACAGACGCCGCCAGTATCGCCAGCGTCAGCAGCGGCAAGCGCTACAGATACTTCTCATCGGCAAAGTGCGTGGCCATGCAATGACCGAGAGCGTGTTGTGGCACGAGAGCGTTATGACATGAACACTTGGTGGTGATTGATTGGCTGATGGCAAGGGGCGACATGGGAGAGAAGTGAGGCACTCCCCGTCGTTGGTGTTTGCGTTTTGTTTTCTCAGAACTGATGCATGTTGTATGTGTGCGCATGTGTGCGTGAACATTTGCATCCGTATCTGTGTATGTGTGTGTGTGTGTGTGTGCTTTGACTGGGGTTGCAGGGCTGACTTTATGGCCGAGATTCGCCTGCTTTCGCGCCTGCGCCATCCATGCGTCGCCACCATGCTTGGTGCCATCTTCACAAAGTCAAGCGAAGTTCTCCTCGTCATGGAATACCTCGAGCACGGGTTAGCGCGCGAGGTGTGGGTGGGTGGATGAGCAGATGGATCGGTGAACTTGGTTCGCGGAAGTCTTCGTTTGCGCCTGCGGTCGGACATCGCTGTCTCCTTTCACTCACATCCAACACATGCGCGCGCACATATTTATCCGCACACACACATACGCACACCGCTCATAATTGCACGTACGTTCGAAGGTCACTGTATGACTTCCTGCGCAACGACAAGCTGCCGACGCCAGACATGTTCCTGCTGCCCATTGTCAAGGACATTGTGTCTGGCATGCGCTACATCCACAACCTCAAGCCGCCGGTTGTGCACGGCGACCTCAAGGCAAAGAACGTGCTTGTGGATGGCAACTTCAAGGCCAAGATTGCCGACTTTGGGCTCTCGCAGAAACGTCGCTTTGGCTGTGGCACACCATACTGGATGGCGCCAGGTGTGTGTGTGTGTGTGTGTGGTGTATGCGTGTGTGCATATGTGCATGTGCACACGTGTGTGTGTGCGTGTGTGTGCCAGGATGCGTTGTGCATGTGTGTGTTGCACAGTTGCGTCCTTTCCCCCTACCTCAACACATACACAACCTTCCAACCACTGCCACTCACAGCCACTGCAACTCATAACCACCACCACCACAACCACCCATTGCCACCAATCATCCAAACCATGCAGAGGTGCTGCGCGGAGGAGAGGTGACGCGGGAGGCGGACGTGTACAGCTTCGCCATCACCGTGTACGAGATCTACAGCCGGCAGGACCCGTTCGCAGAGGAGGACGCATCGGAGGTGCTCCGCCAGATCGCCGCGCGCCAGGTGCCGGCAAAGCGACCCGACATCCCAGACTCGTGCCCCGTCATGCTGGCTGAGCTTGCGCGGCGGTGCTGGTCCGAGGAGCCCAAGTTCCGGCCAACGTTCGACCAGGTGGACGCGCAGCTGAGCGAGCTCAACATCAGCAAGGTGGGCGCAAGCCTCATCCAGCAGAAGCAGGACGCGCTGAAGAAGGCCACGGTGCTGCACGACGTGTTCCCGCCGCACATTGCCAAGATGCTGGAGGAGGGCAAGAAGGTGCACCCGGAGCACAAGGACGACGTGACCATCTTCTTCTCCGACATTGTGGGCTTCACCAACATCAGCGCGCAGCTGACGCCGGCGGCGGTGTCGGACATGCTGGACCGACTGTACTCTGCCTTTGACGAGCTGACGGAGAAGCACGGCGTGTTCAAGGTGGAGACCATTGGCGACGCGTACATGGCGGCAACAAACCTTGTTGAGCCGCAGCACGACCACGCGCTCCGCATTGCGCAGTTTGCGGAGGACGCCATCAAGGCGGCGCAGTCGACGTTCATTGACATGGAGCGGCCGGAGCTCGGGTGCGTGAACATCCGCGTTGGGTTCCACTGCGGCCCTGTTGTGGCCAACGTTGTTGGGCGGCGCAACCCGCGGTACTGCCTGTTTGGGGACACGGTGAACACGGCGTCGCGCATGGAGAGCTCGAGCGAGCGCAACAAGATCCACGTGTCGACGTCTGCGGGGGACCGCGTGCGGAGCCAGGCGCCGTGGGTGAAGCTTGAGTCGCGCGGGGTGCAGAACATCAAGGGCAAGGGCGAGATGCTGACATACTGGCTGGTGAGCACGAAGAAGGAAGCAAGCGGCCCCAGCGAGCTGACGACGGTGCAAGAGGCCGAGGAACCAGAGCTCGAAGTTGCAGAGCAGCCGCCCATGACATCACCCCGCTCCCTCACTTGGGCTGATCAGCAATCTGCGCCATCAGGCAACGCGGGCTCAAACCAAGATATTTCAACTGTTGGAAAACTTGTGCGGACCATCAGCGGCACCCTCTCCGGCAAGCGGCGAAACAGCGGCGACAAACCAAAACGCAACAACAGCCTGACGAGGCTCTTCGGGCACCGCAGCACCCCCGTGCAGCCGGCCGAATCCGACACAGATACGGACGTGGAATCGCAGACAGCGCGGTCGTCTATTGACTTTCGCCCACACCTCAGCGCCAGCAGCGGCAGCAGCACCTCTCAAGCGCAACAAATGACCACACCCGCTGTCCCTGGCACGGTCCAGCTTGAGGGTGGCATTGTCAGTGCCACCGACGTTGACCAGTATAACGGCGACGACGACGACGACGATGACGACCGTGATGATTATTGGGGTAGCGGAGGCGAGCTGCTGCAACAGGATGCACGGCTGCTGGGCGATTCACCATCACCAGTGGTCCTCAGCAACATGTCATCACCACAGCCTGTCCGGCGCAGCAACCTACGCAACGAGGAGCCACCAACACACAAGACGCCCACCAAGTTGAACCAGGCCGCAAACCCCACGCCCACCTCAGCCACGGCCACCACTCGGCGCAAGAAGCTGCCAATCGCTGCTGGCTTGTCCTCGCGCCACCAGGGTGCGACGGCCAACAACAGCATGTCTGCAGTGAGCAGCACGGCCAACACAAGCCGTCAAAGTAACGATGACACGCCGAACTCGCTTGCCTCACCGCTGCTCGTGTGATACCATGAAATGTAGGCTTTGTTGAGGAGTAGCTCCTGCATCACGCTTCTCATTGTGCCTCGCCCCCCCCCCCAAAACAAAACACTCAAACAAACAGAACGAATGAGTGTGCTGGGTGTGATCGTACAGCCCACCATGGCTGGCTTGTGCATTGGTTTCAATCAAAACACTGGGTATCACCACTTGGGTCATGTGTCACTTGATGCTTTTCAATACCAACTGTTCAATTCATGTCGAGTTACATTATACCAGAACAAGCAAAGATAAAGCAAAGAAGGGGCGAGGCAGCCGAAAGAAGAGAAAGCCAAGCAACAGTCGGCCGGCAGCCAAACGCGCGTATGGGTCAGAACCAAAGCTGATCCCACGTCCGAAGCATGGCAGACACATCGATTGGGATGTGAGCCGACGACATGAATGTAACACAACACCTGTAACAACATAACATAATATGCACTACAGAGAATACGAAAATACGAAAATACAAATATCTCCCGCTCGCAGCTAAACACCTGCGCATTGCCCGTCTACGCACACACACACACACACACACACACACACACACACACACACACACACACACACACACACACACACACACACACACACGCGCGTGCGCGCGCGCGCACCACTTCGATTTGCGTTTGAGCAGTTCGTATCACAATTCATCCTCGGGAAGCACGTTGAGGTAGCCTTCTGCAATCGTGTCGGAGTCAGCAGCGTCGCTGTCACCATCATCATCATCATCGTCGCCGGGAAGGCCAGGTTGCGTGACCCACGCCAGGCTGGACCCGAAGAGGTCCTCGATTGTCTCGTACACCTCGTCATCAGGCATGCCCACCGTGGGGTCAACCGACTCTGTATCGGCGTAGAGCGGGTTCTCCAGCGCACGCGAGCTGGCGCTGTTTGCGGTGGCGCTGACACTGCTGCTCGCGTTGGTCGCTGCTTTGCGGGCGTTGCTGCTGCGTCGACCGGTTTTGGGGTCTGACCCGGCAACGACCGCGGCGTCCACGTCCGAAGCAGCGGAGAAACGGCGCGTGAACCCGGGCACAAGTGAGCCACGATGTGACACAACAACGTCACGTGGCGGGCCAGCCCTGTTGGTGTCCGCGCTGGATGGCCGGCGGCGGCGTAGCTCCTCCAGATCATAGTGCATGCTGGGCGCAATGGAGGGCGTGCTTGGATGCCGTGAGCGGCGGCCTTTCATCATGCCCACATCCAGGCTCGTGTCACTGTTGTTGCTCGACAGGCGCGACCCGCGTCGAAAGTTGAGCAGCGAGAAGCCAGAGCTGCGCCGGCGCTTCTCTTGCTTCCCGCCCGTCTCGCTGTCGTGCGCAGGCGAAGAAGGGCGCCGTGGCGGTGCAACGGAGGACGATGATGCTCGCGATGGCCGCTCCCCGCTGTCGCGACTGGCTGGGCGGGAGGCATCGAACATGCCAGCAAAGCCTGCTGGTGTGGACATCCCTCCCAAGCTGCTCGTGCTGGTGTGTGTGGTGCCCATGGCGTTCTTGTCCGGCATATCTTTGGTTGAAGCCACCTTCCACCCCGCTTGCTGATTGCCATCTTCCTCCGCATCGCCGACGCTTCTCGCCCTTTTTTTCTGCTTCTTCTTCTTCTTCAGCTTCTTCGTCTTGGTGGTGTTCTTTGAAGGTGGCAAGGCGTCGAGCTGCTGCGTGTCCTGTGGTTGCTGCTGCTGGCGGTGGTTCTTCTTCGCTTGCGGTTTCTTGTGTGTTGATGCTGTTCGAGGCTTGCGTTTCCGTCTTGCCCGCCGGCGCAGCGCAGCCAGCGCAATGAGGAGAATCACGATCAGAACAGAGTTGACAAGCGACACGAGCAGCCACACGTTGGCTGTGAGGTCAGCAGCGATACCCGCGCTGGCATCGCTGTTGCCGCCACCGCCCATGCTGCTGGTGGTTGTGGTTGTGGTCGTGGTAGACGAAGAGGTTGTCGGTGGCTCGGTTGTCGTGGTCGTCGTTGTGGTTGTCGGTGGGCGCGTGGTGTATGTGTTCTGCAAAAGCGCCGTCAAGTTGCGCACGCGCAGCTGTTGCTGGCCCAGCTTGCTCTGCACCTGCTGCAGATCCAGCGTGAGGTGCTCGTTCTCCCGCACCAGGTCATCCAGTGCGAGCACGGCTTGGTCAACCTTCATCCTCAGCGATTCGCTGCGCTGCACCGTGATGGGCGGAGCAAACTCAGCAGGGTCAGCAAAAGTGACAGCTGTCTCAGCCAGCTCAGCCACCATTGCCAGTACCGCAGTTGCGTTGATGGCTGAGCTGTTGTTCCCACTCCTGCTGTGTGGACCGTCAGCACCGGGCACCCAAACACTGCGACGCGTGCGATGGCGCCAGCCTGGTATCGAGTCACGATCTCCCATGTCAAGTGCGCGACGCCTGCGTGCTGGCGGCGGCAGAGACGATGGCATGGCCGAAGACACCATCGTCGTTGTGGCTGTGGCTGTGGCTGTGGCTGTAGGGGTATGATGCGTGCCATTTGCAGACATGTGCGTGCCATTTGCAGGCATGTGCGTGCTGTTGCCATGTGCTGTTGTTGTCGTTGGTGTTGTTGGCGGTGGCGGCACATCCACGTGGAAGCGCGAGAGCAAGTGCAAGCACGATGGCTGCAGCGGTGCACCGGAGAAGGACGCGTCAATGAGCGTGACGTTGGCTGCACGGTCGTGAGCCAAGAGGCTGGAGCCATTGCTGACGTGCGCCAGAGTTGTGCTGTCGTCAAAGCGCTGCCACTGGTCTGGGTGCTGGAGAAAGTTTGCCACCTTTGTCACGAGCGCGTCCGTGTGCGTGTGGGCGTCGGTGGGCGCACCCGCTTCGCCACTTGCACAGTAGAGCCACGCCACCGTCTCGCATGCCCCGGCTGTGCAGGGCACGTTGGGTGTGACGGCGAGTACAAACTCTGCCCCAAACACCTGGTTTTCCAAGTATGCAAGCGAGGTCTCGAGTTGCTGGTGCTCTGCTGCGGCCCGGACCTCCTCCGTCGCCAGCGCGTGTGTCAGGTTGGCCGCCTCTGCCTCGAGTGACACGCCCAGAGCTGCGTCGCTCGCGTTCAGGTGCCGCTCCAACGCCAACACGCGCCCATGAAGGTGCGCGTCCGATGCGCTCAGGGTGCTCACACTCGCGTTCCACGCTTCCGTGAGGAGTGCATCTTGGCTGGTGAGGCTGGCCCGGGCACCGGCCAAGTGCGAAGCCAGGCTCGCTTCCGCATCCACAGCACGCGTGTGCTCTGCTGCAGCTTGACTGGACGCAACCGAGAGCTGCTGGTGCGCGCGCGTGTCCTCTGCTGTCACAGCGGCCGCCAGGCTTGACTCCGCGCTCTGCGCTGACGCGTGCTGCTGCGAACCAACCGCACTCAGCTCGCCCTCATCCGCAACTGCAGAGGACACAACTGATGACAGCTGTGATGACAGCGCTGCCGTGTCCTGCTCAGCTTGCCGCACGTGCTGGCTAATGGCGGCGCTGTGAGTCGATTCCGTCTCCACTGTGGACACATCTACTGCATGCAGGCTTTGGCTCAGCTCACTGGCCGTTGACAAGGCACGCGCACGCTCCGAAGAGAGCGAAGACGCGAGTCCGGCACTGGCATCCACGCCGCGGCTGTGCTCAGAGGCGATGGCAGCGTCCATCGTGTTATGGTTCTGCTGTGCCGTCGACGCTTCAGCCGAAATGTCACGCTGCAGATCCTGTGCGGTGGCGGTGCGGGCATTGCCGATGCTGCTGGTCTCTTGGCTGAGCTCACTCGTGCGCCGGGAGCGGCGGGCTGTCTCGGCAGACAACGATGATTTCACGTCTGCGCGTGCGTTGGCGCTGCGTGACTGCTCGCTGGCAATTCGCGTTTGCAGAGAAGTTTCAGCTGCCGCTGCCTGCTGCTGCTGCGTGGCCACGGACGTTGACAGCACCGTGACCTTCTCGTGTGCTCTGCTCTGCTCCTTCCTGACAAGGGACGACAGGACAGCCTCCGCCGCACGGTTTGAAGCGCCAACACCGCTCACGCGTGCCTCCAGCGACTGCTCCGACGACAAGGCTGCAAGTCTGTCCGCGGCAATGGCACGGCTGACACTTTTCTCACGCTCAATGGCAGCAGATTCTGCAGAGGACAGGGACGTGACAAGCCCAAAGTTTGCCACGACCTTGCCTTGTTGGATGTCGGAGATGGTTTGCTGCATCTGGTGCGCCTGTGCTGCGTCCCTCTGCGCCTCTGCAGATATGGCAGAGGCCAGGCTGCCCTCCGCTGCCATGGCGGTGGCGGTGTTCTGTGACAGGTGCGACAGAAGCGACGAGGAGGTGCTGGTGACCCGCTGCTCCTGCTGTGACATGCTGGCTGCAAGGCTGGCGTGATGGGCGAGCGTGCTCGTCTCCAGTCCAGACAGGGAGGTGCTTAGGTCGCTGCGTGCGTCCGCAGCTCGTGTTGCTTCACTGGTAATCGCCTGTGACAGCCCGCTGTGCACATCGATGGCGCGGGAATGCTCAGCACCGACTGCCTGCAACAGGCTGGCTGCAGCCACCTGCTGTCTTGCTGCTTCCGTGCTGATTGTTTCCGCGAGCTCGTCCTCCTCACGCGTTGTGTTGGAGACAAGCACCGCCTGCTTCTGGGACAGCTGGGCAATGACAGAGGCAATCGACGCATGCGCGCGGCGGCCGGTCGACACAGCAGCACTCAGCTCACTGCCAATGCTCGCTGCAGCTTGTGCTGCACGATCTTCCTCTGAGAGCATGCTTGCAAGCAAGTTCGCGCGCGTGGCGTGTGCCCTTGCCGCTTCGCTGCTCAGCTGCACCCCAATGGCTGCTTGACTGGCGTTGGCTGCGCTTGCGTGGGAGCGAATGGCATCTGCGAGCGACGACGACGATGAACGAAGGCCTGCCTCAGCTGCCACTGCGCGTGACGTCTCCGACTGCATGGAGGCTTCCAGCACGCTGACGGCGGACGCTTCTCGTGCCGTCTCCTGCGACAGGAGCGATGCGAGGGCGGCGCGCCTCTGCGTCGCTGTTGAGGAGATTGTGTCGATAACCTGTTCCAGCGAAGCCTCACGCGACTGCGCAACAGTCACCCGGTTGCGTGCACGGCGCTGCTGCGTGCTCGCCTGCGAACTGAGTTTGGACTCTGCGTCGAGAGCCAATGAGGTCTCCACGTCCAGTTCCATCGACAGCACCAGGCGCTGCTGGCGTATGCGGTTGCTGCCCGTCTGCACGGCGGCATCGAGCGCCGATTCAGCGGCAGCTAGTTCCGCTTGTGCGTCTGTCAGCAGTGTTTCCAGCGACTGGATGACAAACAGCTCCACATCGTCGCCTTTGGGGCCCACGGGACCAACATCGCCCTGTGCTCCTTTGTTGCCGGTTTCGCCCTTGATGCCCTGTGCCCCTTGCACGCCTTGCGGCCCAGGATCGCCCACAGGACCTGGCACAGTGCAGCGTGTACGTATACGTATGTGTGTGTGTATTTGTGAGTGTGAGTGTGAGTGTGTGTGTGTGAGTGTGAGTGTTTGTGTGTGTGTGTGTGTGTGAGTGTGAGAGAGAGAGTGTGTGTGGAAAAGTGAGATGGAAGCAATTGTCCTGACCACGATGATGAAGGTTGTTTTGGTGTGGATGCGACCATGTGTGTGTAAGTGCGATACATGTGTGGTATCTCTCATTCACGCACACACACAAACACACACACACGCACACATACACACACGCACACACACACACACACACACACTCTCTCTCTCTGCGCATGGTACCTCGAATTCCCTGTGGTCCTGGGTCGCCCTGTGGCCCCTGTTCGCCCTGTGGGCCTTGAGGCCCCTGCGGCCCCTGCGGCCCTTGAGGACCAGGATCGCCTGTCAAACAAGCCGCGTTGTGATCGTTGTTGTGAATATGGAGCCATGAAGGACAGCAGCAGTGATGGCATGTGTATCACACATACTCATGTGCAAATGAAGGAAAATGCGCGCCGATGTGTCAATCACACATACATACACCTGACACACACACATACATACACCTGAGACACACATATACATACACCTGACATACACACACACACACACACACAAGCACACACATACACACACCTGACACACACACACACCTGACATACACACACCTTGTTCACCCTGCGGCCCCTGTGGTCCGGCATCGCCTTGGTCACCCTGGGCGCCCTGTGGCCCCTGTTCTCCCTGTGGCCCTTGATCCCCCTGCTCACCCTTGATCCCCTGAGGCCCCTGGGGTCCGGGTGCACCAGCGGGGCCCTGGTCACCCTGTACGCCTTGATCGCCCTTGGGGCCCTGCGGCCCTGGGTCGCCTGCAACCCCCTGTTGCCCCTGTGGTCCCTGTTCTCCCTGTGGCCCCTGCGGCCCTGGTGCGCCCACCTCCCCCTTTGCACCAGGTGCGCCTTGCTCGCCCACGTCGCCTTTGTCGCCCTGCGGTCCCGGTGCACCGTCATCGCCGTTCACTCCAGGCAGCCCTTGTGGCCCCTGTGGCCCCTGTGCACCCGCATCCCCCGTTGGGCCCTTTGCTCCTCTATTTCCTTGTGGGCCTTGAGGCGCTGTTGACATTTTTGGTTGCATCAGGGGCATGGTTGAAGGGAGGCAAGGGGACAGGCAGGACATGTTGCAAGTTGTGAGGTGGTGATGGAGGTGGGGTTGTTTGTTGTCACAGCAGTGCGTGGGGCCCTTACACGCGTGTGTGAGAGCGCACAGGTGGCAAGCATACGAACAATTGCATCCAAGCAATGAATCGAAGGCCACAAACCTGCAACGCATTGCCCGCCGTCCCAATAGTAGTTTGTCGAGCAGCCTGATAATGGAATGACAGTTGTGAATGTGTGCGTGTGCGTGTGTGTGTGCGCGTGCGTGTGTGTGTGTGTGTGTGTGTGCGTGTGCGTAAGTCCGTGTGCTTGTATTTACAGGACGAGGCAGAAAAGATAAAAAACGAAGCAGGCAAACGTGAAAATGTGCAGGCTCGTGCTGAAAGACATGGCGACGTGCAGACAGGCGCATGCATGTACATGTAAAATTAACGATCACTTACGGCACACGCGCCCGAATGAGTACTCGGAGTTGCCTTGGCACTCGACGTCGCACACAAAGAACGCAAACCTGGTTGTGCGTGTGCGTTCGTGCATGCGTGTGTGCGCGTGTGCGTGCGTGTGTGTGTGTGTGTGTGAGTGTGCGTCATGGGAGTTGACTCAAGTGTTAGTCTTGGCCGGAAGTTGGCATGCAAAGCCACAGATGAAGCAGGCATGCAAAGCCACACACAGTCACACAGAGTCACACACACACACACACGCACACACGCACACGCACGCACGCACGCACACACACACACACAGAGCCACACAGTCAGCCCAGATGATGGCCAGACCTGCGGTCAGTGGAGCTGCTGTCGTATGCGGAGGAGATGCCGCGAATGGCCTTGCGGATGCCGGGGTCATAGTTGAGCGTGCCTTTCAGACTATTGATGTATGACGTCCAGCTGCAAGGTATTTTGGAGAGAGGAAAGCGAATGTGAGAGGAGGCAGTGGAGTAGGGCGCAGTGAAATGCTCATGTGAAATAAGCACGTTTGATGAACAAGAACGTGAACACACACACACACACACACACACACACACACACAAGTGCACAAAAGTACAAACACATACACACAAAAGTACAAACACAGAAAACATGTCCGCACCTGCAGCTACTTTGGTACGTGATGCCAGAGTTGAGCTTTCCGCAGGAAATGGACCAGACTCGATCCTGTCAGCGACAAGTAGGAAGAATGGGAACGTGAGGGAGGCAGTGCGGGTGGTCTTGGTTGTGCAACGCATTCCTTGAGATCAGTATGTTATATGACAAGACCTTCCAGTCAAAAGGCACCTCGTTTGTGTTGCTGTGGACGCTTGCAAGTCCCGTCACAAAGGAGTCAACTGGCATAAAAGCAACGCAAGCAAGCAGAAGCAAACACATGATGAGGTTCGGTGAGGCATGATCCGGAGGACACACACGTGAGGGGGGGGGGGGAGTTGGAGAGAGGGACTGTCATGCAAATGTAGTGCAAACAAATGACGCAGCTGCGACTGTACGTGTGCATGACTATGGCATAATAACTGAGCCACGCCCACAACATCGCACCCTTCTTCCCAGACCCACACAGAACGCCACCCCCTTTTCACACTAACCTGGGCATGTGTATGAGAAGGCTTGCTTGTAGTTGTTGAGAGAAGCCTCTGCTGTGTGCTTGAAGGACAAGCTTGCAGCTTCGCAGTGGAAGGCCCATTGTCGGTCGTGATTACTGTTGCTGTACACGGAGTAGACGCCTGTCAAAATGGTGTCCCCACCACACTCGAACGCCAGGTCGTTGTCAAAGTCGTTGAGATACCCCGTGAAGTCGGAGGGTTGTGCCGTTATTCGATGGATGCCGCAAGCAAGTACCAGAGCCATTAGCAGCCACACGATGCTGCGTCTGCTGCAGCATGTTCTGCAGCCTCGTGTTGTTGCTTGTAATCGTGTGTGCTGCTGATGTTGTTGTTGTTGTTGCTGTTGATGATGTGAGCGTGTTTTGTCTTCGTCCCGCACCACCGTCACCACAACGCACGGCGCCTCTGGGTGCCGGTGCGCGTGTTTGTGTTGCACTGCCATCACTGGCGCAACATGGGCAGAGCCGTGTACTTGAAGGAAGCAAGACCGGGCGGATGTAGGGAAGAAGGACAACGCGTGTGTGATTGTTCTGGGGCCGTGGAGTGCAGGCATCGAACCAAACACCACCACCACACACAAACCAAACACGCAAACAAACAAACAAGAACACAGAAGACAGTCGGAGAAGAAGCGACGCGAAATGGCATGTTTGCGGAATATTCACAAATATCTTCAACCAAAAATCCGCAATTCAGGCGTTCGAGGCTGCAGCGAGTGTTTGGTGGCGAGCGAGTGTTTGAAATGGTGTGAGACGCTGCGAGCGCAGAGACAACAACCAACAGTGGTGGTGGTTGGTGGTGTTGTTGTCGATGGTGTTGGTGATGATGAAGCATAAGCCATGCCATGGCAAGAAACGAGCGAGAGGATCAATACATAAGCGCTACGCACTGAGGCTGCTGGTGTCATCCGTGACTTCAAGAGACAGCTTGGTGTTGCTTGGACTGGACACCTCGTCTGCATGGCCTTCGTCCTCTTGTTGCTCTGTTGATGACAACACCAGCAGGTGAGGGAGGGGGGAGAGGAAGGGAGTACATGTACGAACCCATGCTCGCACGCAGGCACACAGATAGACAGACACACATACACACACGCACGCACACCCGAACACACACACGAACACACATACACACGCACACACACAACACACACGCACACACACACACGCGCGCAGAGCTTGCATCGCTGTCCCTACCTGCGCCCTCGTCGCCGGCTTCTTCTGTAGTCTCTGCTGGCGTTGCCTCTGGCTCTTGTTTACCCTCCTCCTCCTCCTCCTCCTCCTCCTCCTTGTTCACTTCATCTCCTGCAGCCTGTGTATCAGCTTCCTTGCCAGCATCAGCCTCCTCCCGTGGTGTGGGCGTCTTTGCCGTGGCTTCTTCCTCCCCACCTTGCTCGCCAACTTCCCCCTCTTTGTCCTCCTTGTCCTTCTTTACCTCCTTGTCCTCCGCCTTTTCATCCTTTGCTTCCGTCTGCCCTTCCTGCTCGCCTTTGTCTGGTGTCGGTGTCACATCACCATCACGCTCGCCATGACGCTCAGCATCGCCATCTTCGTCATCGGCCACCTCTGCGTCGCCGCTTTCGCCCTGTTGTGTGTCCGGCACCTCCGGTGTGGTGGTGGTCACCGTCGACACTGCGCTGTCAGCGACTGCATCATCAGGCGAGGGCGCTTCCTCTGACTGCTGCTGCTGCTCGGCAGCACGTTCTTCTTCGTCCTTGACTGCATTGGTTTCTTCTTCTTCTCCTTGGTGTTCTGCTGCCGCCGCTGGTCCTTCGGTTGTGTCGTCACCCGTGTCTGCTGCTGTCGCTGCGTCGTCTTCTGTCGTCTGTTGCTGTTGCTGCTCCTCCTCCGCAGCCTTCACGTCTTCCTGGTCGTGGCCCTCGGGCAGAGGGCACAGCGGGCACTGTGCAAACAGGGAGACAGTGCTTGGGAACTGCTGTGTGACACTGGAGTACGTGAACACGGCCGTGGCCAACGGCAGGCCCTCGTAGGCCTTGAGCGCCTCGCGTCTGGCTGCATCGTCGGCCTCGCGCTGCTGTTGGATACGCTGCCGCTCTGCTTCGGCCTCCTGCGCCCTGCGCCTTTGCGCTTCTGCTTCCTCCGCCTGCTTCTTGGCGATGTAGCTGTTGATCTCGTCCTGCTTGGCCTGCTCCCTGTCACGCGCGTCGCATGCCTGGCGCAGCAGCGAGCTGATGTGGCGGATTGGGTCCTCGGGCTGGTACTTGGCGACGTCGGCCATGGCACGCACCAGCATGTCGCCGACCGTCTCTCGGATAAACGCGGCTTCCATCCCTGCAGTTGCCAAATCAAATCTGGCCAAGAGGTGGGCACGAGGCAAGACAAATAGACAGCACGTGGGATGCAGCCGAGAAAGATGACGCAACGAGCAAGCATGCATGCATGGAAACGGGCGGTGACATGAGCCAAAGTGAACAACAAAACAAGAGTATGCCAAAGCATGTATGCAAACAAAACAAACAAGAAGGGCAAACTTGCCAAGCAAGAGTCAACTCAAACAAAGCGCACTTGTTTGTCGTCAATGTCACGCACACATACACGTGCACACGAGTCGGCTGGTGTGCGGGAGACAAAACAGGGACGAACACCACCACCACCACCACCACCACCACCACCACCACCACCACCAACAACAACAACAACACCAACACCAACACCAAGCGCACCTTGTTGTTGTTCCGTCTTTGAAGAAGAAGGGGAGGGCGCGTTTGGCGTTGTGAAGATGGAAAATTGAGGCAAAACGTTCGTCAATTGTCGGCTGTGCCAGCAGCCAGACGGGAGGACAAGCAAGCAAGAAGCAAGCGAGATGCTGCTGGTGGGTGTGTGCTCTTGTGTGTGTGTGCGTGTGTGTATGCTTTTGTATGTGTATGCTCTTGTGTGTGTGTGTGTATGCTCTTGTGTGTGTGTGCTTGTGCGGGTGTGTGTATGAGACTCAAGTGTGCATTGTGCCTCATTACCCACTGATGATGTATGTCCTGCACCTTGCCCTGTTTCGTCGTGCCAATTGTGCAGGCAAGACTTGTACTGGTGCTGGTCGCCAGTCACTGCTTGTGCCCTGCTGTGGCGCAACCATCGCCCCCGAGTGGCTGGACAGACTACATCAACGAATACGACGAGGAACTGGACTTTACTTGCGCTCCAGGCAACGTCCTCTCTGGTCTCCTCAGCTACCACGAGTAAGCGCAGACAGAGGAGGCGTGTGTCTGTGTCTGTGTCTGTGTTGTGTTGTGTTTGTGTTGTGTTGTGTTGTGTTATTGCTGTGGTTGATGTTACCCACTTTTTGACTGCCAAACGAACACAACACACACACATGCACACACGCACATACACACACACACACGCACCCACGCGCGCACTTTCACACCCATCCACAGCAACAATAAAGAGGATCGGCGGTGGGCATTCACGTGCAAAGAGGCGGAGCTGTTTGAGCATTGGGAGAGCGGATGGATCAACAACTTTGACGCGCCTGCAAGCATCACCTGCCCAAGTGCGTGCTCGCGCGTATATGTGTGTGTGTGTGTGTGTGTGTGTGCGAGCGCGCGCGCCTGTGAAATCCGCGCTGAATTGTCATGAACTTCGCCTGTCTTTGCCTGCGAATGTTTCAGCCAAACTTGTCTCTCATTGTTGCTCACTCGTTGCTTACTTCTTGTGCCACAGGCGGCTTTGCACTCACCGGCCTACGAAGCTACCACGACTCAAACAATGAGGTGAGCCTATGGAAGTCCAAGCCGTTCACCTTACACGCGTGTACCCATAGGATCCACGCACACATACACACACAGTGCATACATATACATACAGTGTACACATACAGATGCATGCACAGACAGAGTGTGCGTACGCCTTGTTTTGCTTGCAAGCAGCCGCTCACTGTCTCACCCTGATGCGTGTGCTTGTTTGCGCTTACAGGACCGGAGATCGCAGGCCCGTTGCCAGCGGTTCACCAGCCCGCTCGCATATGAGACATCGTGCGCGTGGACGAACTACATCAACACCTTTGATGACCCCCTCTCTTGGTCCGTTTCTTCCACCCGCGTCATTCGTGGGTTTGGCTCCTACCACAGCAACAACAAGTATGTCACATGCGCTTGCGCTGTGTGTGTGTATGTGTGTGTGTGTATGTGTGTGTGTGTGTGTGTGTGTGTGTGTGTGTGTGTGTGTGTGTGTGTGTGTGTGTGTGTGTGTGTGTGTGTGTGTGTGTGTACGCTGCATATTCATGTGCAAGTTTGCACCGTACCGCCTCACTCCACCCCGCCACTGCCGTCACACCACCACCCCGCCACTGCCGTCACACCACCACCCCGCCACTGCCGTCACACCACCACCCCGCCACTGCCGTCACACCACCACCCCGCCACTGCCGTCACACCACCACCCCGCCACTGCCGTCACACCACCACCCCGCCACTGCCGTCACACCACCACCCCGCCACTGCCGTCACACCACCACCCCGCCACTGCCGTCACAATGCAGCGAGGATCGACGGTTCAAATTCCTGCACTGCGGCGTTTCCTGCTTCCAACCGGCCGTGCAGTCCGATGCACAATGCGGTGAGTACCCATCCATCCCCCTCATATCCTCTTCTTCGGCACCTTGCCATCCAAACACTCATGTTGTCGTTGTTGTTGTTGTTGTTGTTGTCGTCGTTGTTGTTGTTGTTGTCGTTGTTGTCGTTGTTATCGTGCAACACGAGTGTTTGGTGTGGTGATACGCTGACTCAAGTCCCCTCGCTGCGTGCATTGCTGCTGTGCTTTTGTGTCGCGCTCATGCCTTCTTCCCGTCTCCTGCCGTCTTGATCACTCACTGCCTGTAATCAGAATGCACCTCCGACTACTTCAAGAACCACGGAACGTGCCAGCAAAGTGAGTGAATGTGTGAGTGAGAGTGTGAGTATGTGAGGTTGGACATGTTATGTGCTTGTGTGTGATATGATAACTTGTACGTCGCACTTGTGTCACTATGCATCCTGTCACTGCGTTCCCCCCACCACACGCACACACACACACACACACACACACACACACACACACACACACACACACACACACACACACACACACATACACACACACAGTTCCAATTGGTGCACCCGGTCCAAAGGGGTTCACGGGCGATACCGGCGCGAAGGGTCCACAGGGTCCACAGGGAGCACGCGGCCCGCAAGGCGCTCCAGGTACTTGCATGCACACATGCACGCACACATGTGTTGAGCTTTTGATGTGTGTGTGTGTATTCATGTGTTTGTACGTACAAGCATGTGGAAAACCTGTACACGTGTGTTTCCAAGTGTGTTGGGGGGGGGGAATCTCGCTTGCTAGCTCGCTTGCTTGCTTGTTTGGTGTTTGGAGTCTGCCACTCCTACCTTATGCATATCCGACATCTTTTAACATCCTTCACGCCATTGCCACAACCATCTTCCCCTGCTCCCTGCACGCGGCACGCTGTCACCGTCCAAAGGCCAGGACGGTGCTGTTGGCGCCAAAGGGATCAAGGGCGACATGGGCGCACCAGGACCAGCCGGTCCGCAGGGCGATCAAGGTGCACGCGGTGACGCGCCATGTCGCACCTGCACACTGACTGCATGCTTTGTCTGTTTGCATTTGACAGGGAGGGCGGACGGGGTTGCAAGGTTTCTGTTGTGACATGACTATTGGTGTTCATGCACGACCTCTGCCCAACATGAGCTTGCATACATACACACTCACTCACTCACTCACTCACTCACTCACTCACTCACTCACTCACTCACTCACTCACTCACTCACTCACACAATCGTCCATGTCTGTTCACAGGTTCTCCTGGCCCCATTGGACCTCAGGGGCCTGTGGGGGTGCCTGGCCTTCAAGGCGTCAAGGGACCACAGGGGCTGCCGGGGCCACAGGGCGACCAGGGCATCAAAGGTGCGGCGCCATCGTGCTCTCGTGTGCACGTGCTCATTCTGTTTGCTTTCCGTTTTTTTTTTTCTTTGTTCATTCTGACCAAAACAGTGACGGCTACAGTGCCAGCATGTTCGTGTCCGCAGTTGCTCGATGCCTTTCCTTGCTGCACGTGGCGTTTCACCCTTTTGCATATCGCCCCTCTCCCTCTCTATTGTTCTCTTTCTTTCTCTCCCGTTCTCTTTCCCTGCTGTCTTCAAGCTCTTCACGCCCTTTGCTGCCTCTTTGCGTTGTGTGTTGTCCTTTCTCATGACCGTTTATCGTTTGACCAATTTACTCAGGTGTTCAAGGTGATCCCGGCCCACAGGGCAGCCCAGGTCCCAGTGGCATCCAGGGAGATAAGGGTGCGTGAATGTGTATGTGCGTGCATGAGTGTGATTGTGTGTATTTGTGGGCGTGAAGATGAACATGTGCTTGTGTGCGCGTGCGTACGCAGCAGCTTCACTTTGCTCCCATATGCTGAACATCACTTCGCTGAAGCACAACCCAAGCGTCCAATCTCTTGTTCTCATCATGCCCTCTCCCCACCTTCCACTGTCCCTCTCCACCCAGGCCCTGTGGGCGATATTGGGTTGCCCGGGCCACAAGGAATTCCCGGCCCAAAAGGACCAACAGGTGAATGCTCCCGCTGAATTTGCAACTGGATGCAAGGAACCCTTACACACACACACGCACACACACACACACGCACACACACACACACACGCACACACACACACACACGCACTCACTCACTCACACACACACACACACACACTCACAAACTCACTCACACACACTCACTCACTCACTCACTCACTCACGCACACATACACATACACTCACTCACACACACACACATACACATACACTCACTCACACACACACACATACACACACATACACATACACTCACTCACACACACACACACACACACACATACACTCACTCACACTCACTCACACAACACGTGGCACCGCCAACGACAGGCCCTGTTGGCGTGCGTGGATTGAAAGGGCCAATGGGCGACCCTGGGCCCATTGGCGTACAAGGCGATGTTGGTGCACAAGGCCCCCAGGGAATCAAAGGGCTGCAAGGGTCACAGGGGCCACAGGGCCTAAAAGGAGCGCAGGGCCCACAAGGCGATCCCGGCCTGCAGGGTGTCCAGGGCGACAAAGGCACAACAGGTGACCAAGGTCCTGTGGGTCCAAAGGGCCCTCGTGGCGAAGATATCAACCCAGCGCTGATCCAGCACCTGCAGAGCAACATCTCAATCGAAGCGTCACAGACCAGCGACGCTGCCGAATCCTTGAATGCGGACATATCCTCGCGCATCGTCAACACGTCGCTCACCACAGACGAGCTCATGCGCAGCGCCATCTCGCACGAGACGCAGCGCCAGGCCGCCGCCCGCTCCATGCTGAGTCTGCAGATTTCAACAGACCAGGCCGCCCTGTCCAGTGAAGTGCAGCGCGCCACGCAGGCGGAGTCCTCCCTCTCCGTGTCCGTGGCCGGGCTGAGCGGCGCCGTGGTGGGCGGTGTCTCCTCTGTATCGCAGATGATCAGCGCAATGGACAGCGGTGCCGTCGCGCGCGAGGCGTCCCTGCACGTGCGCGCCAGCAACGAGCGCATCAGGGCAGACAGCGCGCACGCCTCGCTAGAATCGCAACTCCAACAGCAGGCCAGCGCGGTGGCGGCTGCAGACGCACGTGCGCGCAGCACAGAGGACATGCTTGCAAGCAGCCTGTCGTTGCAGGTGACATCGAGCATCAGCGGTGAGGCCACCACTGCCCAGAACGTGTCATCCCTTGCAGCCCTGGCCCATGCCCGCCAGCTGTCACTGCAATCGGACATTTCCTCCGCTACACAGGAGGCCGGGCACCAGGAGTCATCCCTGCAGCGCCAGGCAGAGTCGCTCGTGTCCGCACTCAGCACGGAGGAGACACGGCGTGTGCAGGCCTCGTCCTCCCTGGCATCCAGCATACTCGCACGACGATCAGGTGCCATGGCGACAGAGTCATCGCTAGCAGCAGCCATCAGCGCACAGCGCACGTCCACGGGCACCAGCATCTCCTCCCTCACCACTGCCCTCTCCTCTGCCGCATCCCTTGGACAGCAGGCAGACGACAGCCTGGCGTCGCTGCTGTCTGCAACAGCAAACGCCGCCGTGTCCCGGGAAACGAGTCTGCAGCACACGCTCGACAGCGCCGTGTCCCTTGCCTCGTCTGCAGAGGCGACACTTGATCGCGAGCTCAGCATCGACGTGTCGCGTGCCGTGTCTGCAGAGGCGTCCATATCCACGGCCGTGCAGGACCGCATCTCCACTGCAAAGGCGGAAGAGGCTGCGCTCGACAGCGCGCTGCAGTCACTGCATGATGTTGTGCGCGTGTCCAACGCGAACGTCTCCCTGCAGCTGCAGGCGGCCCAGTCCCGTGCTGTGCGCGAGGAAAGTCGCCTGTCCGCTGCCGTTGTCAGCGAAGCCAATCGGGCCGAGCACGCCCGTGCGGACGTGGCATCCTCCCTCTCCAGCGAGCACGTCCGCGCGCTGTCGGCCGTATCGTCGCTCAACGCTGCCGGGCATGACGCAATGACCTCTGCGCAGTCATCTGAAGCGCACGTGAGCAGTGCCATCACAGCAGAGGCCGGCCGGGCGCAATCGCGAGAGGAAATCGTGAGCGCAGCCATCAGCGCGCACACTGTCTCCCGCCTCTCTGCACAGGGCGTGCTGTCATCGTCCATTACCGCTGCTAGCAGCGCGGCAAGGGTAAATGCTTCGCAGTTGCGCGCAAACGTTGCAGCGCTCTCCTCCACACTGCACCAGCAGCACAGCCAGCTTGAGACCTCGTTTGCGATCGTTGCCTCTGACACGTCAACCGCCCTCAGCAGCCTGGAGGTGTTTCGCACTGCAGTCGACACCAGCGCGGTGTCCAGGGCGACGAGCATTGCTGCCGACATCTCAGCAGAGCAGAGCAGGTCGTCAGCGCAGCACGCGTCGCTCAACTCGCAGCTGTTAACAGCCATCGCTCGGGCAGACAGTGCGCAGGCAGCGTTGAGGGTCGAGGAGCAGGGTGCGGCTTCCAGTGCCAGCACCGCCGCTTCGTCGCTGGCGGTGGCAGCAGAGCAGGAGCGGGCGCGCGCGGTAAACCGGACACTGGAGCTGAACAGCCAAGTGTTGCAGGAGCAGAGCCGCGTGCAAGTTGCGCATGCGAGTGTTGCTGTCTCGCTGGCGCAGGTGTCATCGGAAGCAAGCGCGCTCGCCGCCACGCACGGCAACTTTGTGTCCTCTGAACAGAGCAGAGGCGCCGACACCCGCGCGTCCATCGCCACAGCGCTGTCTCGCGACACACAAACGCTACACGCCGTGGACGCGTCGCTGGAGACATTCATCTCGGACGCGTCGCAGCAGCTCATCACAGCGGATCAGCAGCTGTCCACTGAGCTCTCCGGTGTGCAGCAGACGCGGTTGGCGGCCGACGCTGCGCTGCGTGAGCACCTAACGTTCACGCACAGCACGCTGTCGACCATGGTGGCGGTTGAAGCGGACAAGGCGGTTTCGCGGGAGCAGCGGGTGCTGGGGCGTCACGCCGCTGTCGCACAGGAGCTCAAGACAACGACGGTGAAGGCAATCATCGCCAACGATGTTGCCTGCACGCTCGAGACGTGCAATTCACAGAAGATTGTCATGTGTCCCAGCGCGGCCCACCCAAACGCTGGTGCAACGACAGGCCTGGTGCAGGATCTGCTACTGGCGTTTCAGGCCAACCCGGAACGCTGGGTGCTCGACACATCGCGACAGCCAAAGCCGTCCACAATCGGCTTACAGGACCTTCGCATTCCGCGCGCATACATTCGCACGTCGCGGCAGGATGACGCATGCCTGGAGTTTGACGTGGATGTGGGCAGCGAGGCGGCGTACACGGCCGACTACACCGCGCCGGCACAGCAGCAGCAGCAGCAGCAAAGACGGCGGCGGAGGCGGAGTGTTGGAGATGTGCGGGCGCCTGGCACTGACAGCACTGGTGGTGCTGATGGCGCTGGTGGTGCTGATGGCGCTTCATCTAGTGGCATGGAATACAAGAACTCGAACCACCAGCAACAGTTGCGGGACCAACTATCACAGCAGGAGCAGCAACAGTCTGTCGCGCGTTCGCGCCGGGTTGCCTTTGTGTCTGACGATGACTTGGCAGAGTGGACGCGCCAGCTCATGATCACGGCTGGTGCGTCGCCCACTGTCGATGCCACTGGCAGGAAGTTGGTTGTTTTTGTACCTGCAGCCGTGGACGACGCCTTGCAACAGGGCGGAACCAGCAACGGCGACGATGATGTGCTTTCCGTGTCTGCACAACTGAGTTCGCTTGACAAGCAGGTGGCTGCGGTGCGTCAGCACACGCACACGCTGCTTGCGGACACCATGCGCGCAATGGCCGACTTCAACACGACGTGGCAGGCGCTGCGTGAAGCGGAGGCCACGATTGAGTCGCGGCTCACCACCACAGCCACCACGACCACGACCACGACAACGACCACCACAACCGCAACCACGACGACGACAACAACAACGACAACAACGAGCAGTGCACCGGACAGAGCGGGCGCGAGCACGTCCGTATTTGGCTCTGCGCCGCCGCTGCTGGTTTATGTTGCGATTGGCAATGCTGGCGCCATCATCATCGCCGTCATCGTCCTGATTGTTGTGCGGCGGCGGTACGCCAGCCAGCCCAAGGTGCACGTGGCCAAGAAGCGCCAACCCCCCAACAAGCACTTGTCCACCTCGTCCCTTCCTGCAACAGCAACAACATCCCCGTGGCGCCATTCGTTTGTTGGTGCCGGCGCTGGCGTCCGCAATTCCTTCAGCGGGGACATGCCTGCTCTCCGCCGCCACTCCTCCTCGTCCACGACCATCATCGACGAGATGTTGGGGGCGCGCACGGTGACGAACCCGCTGTTCCACACGGCGATTGAGGAAGCAGACGAGGCGGAGGGTGCGAGTCAGTACTACCAGCAGGTGGAGCCTGTGAAGGAAGATACAGACTCCGACGTGTTTGATCTCGACGCCATCGCCGGAGAGTGATCGTGTGTGTGTGTGTGTGTGTTGTGTTGTGTTGTGTTGTGTTGTATTGTGTTGTATTGTGTTGTGTTGTGTGGTGCTGTGTGTTGTGTTTGTGTTGTGTTTGTGTGTGTGTTGTGTTGTTTGCTTGTGTGTGTTGTGTTTGTGTGTGTGTTATGTTTGTGTGTGTGTTGTGTTGTGTTGTGTTTGTGTGTGTGTCGTGTTGTGTGTTGTCGCGTGTGGTCGCGTGTGTCCTGTCTTTTCTGCTTTGATCTTTATCATTACTTTTGTGCTATTCTCCATGTTTAGACGAGCATTTATCTCTTCCTGTCGTTCCCCTTCTGCTTCTTTGATTTTACGGTCAAGCGCAGCGCAGCTTGATGAATGCCTGTTGTTATTTCACTTTCTTCCTTCAGTTGGGGTTTGTATGTTTTCTGCAGTTGTCAGGTGCACATGGTCGCTTGATGGCTGTGGTTGCTCGGTGGTGTTGGGGGAGAGGGTTGTTGTGTGTCGTGTTGTTTCGTTTGGTGAGTTGTGGTAACGCAGGAACCGCAGTAATTGAACGAGTTTTATGCAATTGGCTGACACTGATTGAATGAAGCAAGTACGAATGAGGAGCACAAAACAAAACAAAGCACACACATGGAGCACCAACAGCAAGCTAGGAGGTCGTTGAAACTGACAGCATGCATGGACGAACAAGAACGAATGGACAGGCAAGCGTGGGGCAAGGCACAAGCACAAGAAAGCAACAACACTGCGCAGGGGCAATCACACACACACACACACACTCTCTCTCTCTCTCACGCACACACACATGCACAATGCACGCGTGCACAATGAACACACGTTCACACACACACATTTTCTTTCTCACGCGCGCGCACACACGTTCACACACATGCACAAAGTTCACGCATGCACATACTCAGCGCGAAAAGACAATGTCTGTAAACTGCTGGTAATCCAGGGAGTTGTCCTTGGCTGCAGAGGGCACAGTCTCCTTCACAAAGTCAAGGTGCTCTTGCTTGAGCCGCTGCAACTTGTCCAGACCAACACGCTCCTCGTCCCGCGCAATGAAGGAGAAGGAGCCGAGAATGTGCTCGCGCGTATGGATGACGCCAATGAGGTGGATCATGAGTTCCTTGAACTGCTGCAAGTTGAGGCGACCGCCAGACCCGAACGTGCGCATGTGGTTCTCCACCTCGGCCGACGTCAACTCTTCACCAAGCGAGAACAGACACGCCTTGAGCTCCTTCTTCTCGATGGATCCAGACCCGTCCCGGTCAAACTTCTTGAAGAAGCTCTCAATCTCCTGCAAGCACAGAGGCGTGCGGAAGTGAGTGGGGAGGTGTTGGTGGAGCTTGATAATACCGGGGTTGCTTGCCAGAGATGAGTGGGCACTTACACAAAAGGGCACACAAAAGGGCACACACAAGGGCACACACACACACACACACACACACACACACACACACACACACACACACACACACACACAACACACACGCACACCTCAAGCTGCGCCTTGGAGACGCCGCGGGACTTTTTGAATTCAATCTCGCGCTCCAGAAGCGGTTTCTTGTACGTGAGGAGCTTATGGTAGTCGTCAAACTGGCTCGTCAGGTCTTGCAGTGTCACAGAGCTGTGCGGGTTGTATTCGATGCCCAGTTCCTGACAACATTCGTTAAATTAGTGACGAAATGGGTTCCAGGGTTGATGGCACAATGAGGAGACTTGATGAGGGAAGAAGCAACACGTGTGTGCTTGCGAAAGGATCCACAAATACAGGTGTTCAGGTTTGCAGTGCACATGCAAGCACACATGCGCACATACGCAAACACAAACAACACAAACGCACATATGCGCATGCACACACACACACCTTCATCCTGTGCGAGAGCGCCTCAATCTCGACCAGCTTTTCGCGTTCTTGCGTCATGTTGGCGAGCTCAGAGTCAATCTTTTCCAATTGCTCTGTCAGGGTTCCCTGACAGGTACGGCAATGCAGCATTCCAAACCATCTCGTCAGTACACATATGTGCAAAACGTTTACGCGCACACACGCACACACGCACACACACACACGCACACACACACACACACATGTGCGCACACACACACACACACACACACACACACACACACACACACACACACACACACACACACACACACACGACCCGCGAGGCGAGAGAACTATTCTATCAGTGGATACGCTAGCCACTACAAGTTTTTTAACTGATCACTCAATGCTTAACAATTTGGTCGTTCCTCGTGGCGGAATAATACTAAGTGCGATCTCGGGCCATGGCTTATTTTAGTAAGGCCGCGCGCTAGCACTGGGCGCACAATTATGTCTCGCTAGGAATACTGTCACTAGTCCTCCCAGAGACCAATAATAGGGCTGTGTCGATCCAGGGGAGTCGTAACACGACGACACACACGACACACACACACGACACGACACACACACACACACACTACGACGACGACACACACACACACACACACACACACACACACACACACACACACACACACACACACACACACACACACACGGACATTAACACACACATGTGCGCGCACACATGCACGCATTACCCCCCTCCCAAAATACACACCTGGGGCTTGGCCATGGCGTCGATGCTCTGACGAAGGGAGGTCATGAGCGGGTTGACCTTGGCCGCAAACTCCCTGCACAGCTCATCGTTCGCCTTCTGCAGTGCAAGGGCCTTCTCGTACTGCTCGTCCCGGAACTTGAGTGCCGCTGCCATGGAGGCATGGACAGACATAGTGCACGTATTGATGGTGAGGTGGGGAAGAATAGGTGGGAGAGGTGGTGGTGGTGGTCGTCGTCGTCGTGGCAATGACCGCTCGTATGGACTGCTGTCAAGCGTCAATTGTGATGCAATCAACACAAACTACGCAAATGATCCACATGTCACACTCGATACAAACGACGCACAATCACAGTGACAGGCAACAAACGAACAAACAAACAAAATAAACACACAGAAAGGCCATTGCGCGCACCCTTGAGGTCGGATTGAAGGCCGTTCAGGCCAGCCTCATCCAGGGAGGTGTATGGGTTGCTCACAGGGCCATAACCCGACAGTTTCGAGTACACTTGCATGCAAGTCGCCTGTTTTCCATTCAAAGCACATCAGATGAAAGGGTGAGTGCAAGACACACATGGTTTCCCAAACACGCACGCAGTATGCACACGTGCAAATAAAACTTGCAGCGCAAGCAAGTGCACCCCTTCCCCGCGGCATCTCGTGCATAAAAACAATAGTAAAGACAATCTAACATCACCACCAGCAATGCAAAATGAAAGGGCTGACCTTGTGCTGCTCCGCCTGCTGCGTGAGGCTCTTGGCGTCTGCTTCAAGCTCTGATCGCATGTTCTCTGTTTCGTCCAAAGAGAACGCAAAGGTCGTTGCCTTTGTCGTCTCTTGATCCAGCGATCCCTGTGCAGGACAAAGCAAACCGTCGCATGAGATGATAAGCGCCATCCACGCGACACCGACCAAATTGCACACATCATACCACAACAAAATGCAATAACACCCACCCACACCCACACACTCACTCACTCATTCACTTATTCACTCATTCACACACTCACACACGCATACACGCACACACGCATACACGCACACACACACTCACACACACTCTCTCTCTCACACTCACACACACACACGCAAACTGACCCGCACGAAGATGATGTTGTCTTTGACAAAGCCGCGCATGGCGTGTGCGGCGTGCGCAAACTCCTGTCGCAGATCCTCCTTCGTCTGCTCCGTCGCCTGGTCAGCGGTCAGTTTGGTTTTCTTGGCCTCAATCGCATCGGCGAGCGTTGTCAGGCCAGCGTCAACCTCTTGCTCGCGTGCGTGTACTTGCTGTGTGTCAGGGAACGTCCACTGCGACAGCTCGCTCTCGTACTTGGAGTCGCACGCTGACTTGCCAAGGGCTTGCAGGGACGCCAGCGTGGTCTGGCGCGTGTTTGTCAGGTCGTTGCCGAGGGCCTCAAGCAGGCGAAGCTTCACGGCAGCGTCGGCCAGGCTGTCCACGGGCGGCTGTGTCTGGAGCGCCTGCTGCTTCGTGCCAATCCACCCCATCAGCCGCGTGTGCAAGCTGATGTGCTGATCCACCACGCGCGCAACCTTTGCGCAGTACTGCGTGCGTGCAAGGCAGTCCTGCAGGTAGGCGCGCTTGTCCTTCTCGGCGGCCGCCAGATCCTGCCAAAGTGTGTCCACGTGCGTTTCAAGCTCGGACGTTTTCTCCGGCTCGCCAAACACCCACGCTGAGATGGCTGTCTTGTACTGGGCGCGGCGGATAGCAGCGCCGCGCTCTTTGAAGAGGGCAACAGCACCCTGCTCCTTGTCCCTCTGCTCGCCGAGGAACCCATCCAGCAGACTCAGTTGCAGGTGGCTCTCCTGCACGGTGCTGACCGTCGGCTGCTGCTTCAACACCTTCAGCTTCTCCGCACACCACTGCGCAATCTTGTCATGCATGTCGCGGTGGATGTTGGCTGACAGTTCCGTGTCCTCCTTGTACAGAGTGCACGCGAGGCGGTCCTCAAGGAAGGCCTTCTTGTCAGCAAGCAAGCCATCAAGCTGCTCCCACGCTGTGTCAAGTTGCTGCTCGCGTGCCGTCACCTCCTCGGGCGACTCAAACGCGTAGCGAGACAGCGCCGTCTCGTACTTGCGCGCAAAGATGGTGTCACGCAGGGCGTGCAGCGAGGCCATGCTGGTCGCCTTCATTGCCGCCCGATCAGACACAAACGCGTCCGCCAGGCTGAGGTGGAAGCGAGCATCGTGCGACAGCGCAATCTCTTCCCGCTGCTGCAGGTATCGCGCCTTGGTGGCCACCCACGTCTCGAGCAGGGCCGTCTGGTCTGCGTGCTGGAGCGCGAGCAGACGGGTCTCCTCTGCGTACAGCTCGCGTGCTTTGTCGTCCTCAAGCACCTCACGCTTCTTCGCGCTCTTCTCAGCCATCTCCGCCCATCGCTCCTCAACGCGCGCCTCTCGTCCGCTCACGTCATCCGGCCGCTCATACACCCACGTCGACAGCTCGCTCGCATACTTCGCCTCCCGAATCGCTCTCCCCAGCGTCCGCAGCGCAGCAACGTCTGCGGCAGCCATGTCAGCGCACTCGCGATCAAACATGTCCAGCAGGCTGAGCTGGACCTTTGCTTCCTCGGAGTTGGTCACCTTCTCCTTCGTCTCCAGGTATTGCACCTTCTCCTTGCACCACGCCTCAAGCAGCTCATACCCAGACACGTGGTTCTGCACCTGCAGCCGCGTCGCCTCCTTGAACTGCTCCCGGGCAAGGTCGTCCTCAAGCACGCGCTGCTTTTCCTTGGCAATCGCGTCTAGCTCCGGCCACAGCGTGCCCTCCACCTGCTGCTCCAGTTCCTGCACCTCCCCTGGTGCCTCGTACTTCCACTGCGACAGCTGCGTCTTGTACTCTGCGTCGCGGATCTGCTGTCCCAGCTGCTTGAGCGCGGCCACGCTGCCCTCCGTCGTGTCCTTCTTCTCCTGCCGGAACGCCGACAGCACAGACAGTTGCAGCTCTGCACTTTGGATGCTGCTGATCACTTCCGTGTTCTCCAAGTACTTCTTGCGGTTCAGGTACCACTCTGCAATCTCCGTGTGCATGTCTGCGTGCGTCTTGACCCAGAGCCTGACCTTGTTCTGGAACTGGTTGCGGGCGAGGTTGTCGTCCAGCACAGCCTTTGCCTTCACGGCCGCAGCGTCAAGCGCCGCCCACATCTCGTCCACGCGCTTCTCCTCAGCGAGCAGTGTGGCCGGGTCCTCGTACACGTACGAGCTGTGTGCTGTCTCGTACTTGCGCTCACGGATGTCCTTGCCCAGCTGCTTGAGGGACGCCACGCTGGCCTCTGTCAGCGCCGCCTTCTCCTTCACGTACGCCTCGTACTCGCCAAGGCGGTACAGGGCATCGTCCACCGTGTGCACGGTCTCCCTGCAGTGCACGTCAAGGAATTGTTGGCGCGGCTTGTACCACGCCTCCAGCTGCAGCACGCGGTTGTGGTGCTGCCCGGCGAGCAGGCGCGTTTGCTCGGCGTACTCCTCACGAGCGAGGTGATCTTCAAGCACCTTCTGCTTCTCCTCAGCCAGAACGTTCAGCTGCTCCCACTTGCTGACCACCTCCTGCTCCCGTGCATTCACGTCCGCAGGCTTCTCGTACGTCCACTCGGAGTGGTCTGTGGCATACTTGGCAGCGCAGATGTCTGCGCCGAGTGCCTGCAGGTTCGCAATGGCGCCACTCTGCCTATCGGCCATGTCTTGCCTGCAGGCTTGCAGCAGGCTGAGCTGCAGCTTGGACTCCGGCACAGAGTGGATCTCCTCGCGCGTCTCCAGATAGCGCTGCTTCTCGGCAGCCCAGCTCATGAGCGCGGCATGGCTGTTGGCGTGCGTGTCTGCCCACATGCGCACCTTCTTCTGGTACTTGGTGCGGGCGAGGTGATCGTCGAGAATGGGCTTCTTGCGTGCAGCCAGCGCATCCAACTCCACCCACTTGTTGTCAACGGACGTCTCCCTCGCCTCCACCGCAGGCATGTCCTCGTACGTGTACTTGCTCAGCGGCGTTGCGTACTTGCGCGCAGCGATGGTCTGGCCGAGCGTTTTCAGCGACGCGAGCGACGTCTGCGTCTTGGAGTTCTTGGCACTGACGTACGCGTCGTACACGCTCAGCAAGTATTCGGCGTGGGAGATGGTGGTGCACTCCTCGCGCTGCGCCAGGTAGTGCGCCTTGGTTGCTGCCCACTCAAGGATGCGCTTGGTCTCGCTCTCATGACGGCCTGCGAGCAGACGGGTCTCCTCTGCGTACAGCTCGCGTGCTTTGTCGTCCTCAAGCACCTCACGCTTCTTCGCGCTCTTCTCAGCCATCTCCGCCCATCGCTCCTCAACGCGCGCCTCTCGTCCGCTCACGTCATCCGGCCGCTCATACACCCACGTCGACAGCTCGCTCGCATACTTCGCC